TTTGTTTTAAGATGCATGTTGGCTATAGAGTGATAGATGTAATATATTGATTTTCTAAATCTCATTTTCTTCTAACATTCTACTGACAACAGATTATCACTGTGGAACTTCATGAAGAATTAGAATATATAAAAGTTTTAAAACAATAGTTGTTGGAATGACTATGCTTATTTTTAAAGAAAATACAGTAATGGAAACTGAATGTCTATACTGTCTTGCTTATATTCTTAGAATTTATTTAATACGAAATCAGTATATATATTGATTTAAAAACCCAAACTTTAGCCAGATGCCAGTGGCTTACACCTGTAATCCTAGCTACTCAGGAAGCAGAGATCACGAGGATCAAGGTTCAAAGCCAGCCTGGGCAAATAGTTCCCAAAACCTTATCTCAAAAAAAAAAAAATCACAAAAAAGGGCTGGTGGAGTGTCTCAGGGTGTAGGCCCTGAGTTCAAACCCCAGTACTGAAAAAAAAAAAAAAAAAAGAAAAAGAAGAAAGAAAGAAAGAAAGAAAAACCTAAACTTTAAGATTCTGACAGCCCTATGCTTGAGCCCTAATACTTTGTTTTCTATATTCTGTGTGCCATTTAGACACCAGTTTTCTCAGCTGTGAAAATGAAAATAGTAATAGAATTCTTATCTCATAGCATTGTGAGAATTTAGTTAGATAATATTATAAGGCATTAGTATAAGGTACAACATTATAGGAAATCTTAATAAATCTTAGCTGTTATTAATAATAATGCATTTTTCCTGAATAATTCCTGTGACCCAGCCTGGCTTCAAACTTGCTCTGAAGCCCAGCCTGCCTTCCACTCAATCTTCCTGCCTTAACAACCTGAAGACTGGGATTACAAGCATGTACCACTATACCTGACTCTTGCACCATTTCTGAAAGCATTTCTTGGCTATAAGTCACTTATTTTCGAGAAGTTAACAAAAAATAAATCAATAAAAATTCTCTTTAGTTATTGGGAAAAAAATCATGTCAGGAACAAAATTTTTTTTCATTTCTACCATCATTTTTACTTTCATTTAAAGAGGAATAGTTTCTTGGCACATTAGCTGTCAGTTATAAAGAATATATGCTGCATCGCCTACTAGTTTGGCAGGATTTTGCTTTTTTAGATATTATGGACTTACCTTATATTTATATATCAAATCCAAGTTTTGAGTGTTCTCTATGAGTGTTTTACAATTAATGTTACTGTTTTTCACAGCTTATGAAGTATTTTATGTTTATTATATAAATGAAGAACATAAAAAATTTCACCAATAATTCTAGAAATAAGTGCTACTAAAATTTAGCTTTTTTTCTTCAATTATTTTTTCTGGGTCCATATATTTAATGCAAATATCATTTTACATGGTTTATCTTATATTTTTCATTTAGAGTAAGCATTTTTCTTATAAGAAGTCTTCGGAAATATCATTTAAAAATCAAAGTGGACCAGGGGGGAGAAATAAACCAAGCCTTGTATGCACATATGAATAATAAAAGAAAAATGAAAAAAAAAAAAAAATCAAAGTGGAGGTCCTAGCCAGTGTAATAAGGCAAGAAAAGTAAATAAAAGCCTCAGAGACTGGAAAGGCAGAAGTAAAACAATCTTTATTTGCAAATGACATGGTTATATACAAAATACTAGTGAATCTACAGAATAACTTCTGTAACAAATATATTAATTTAGCAGTGTCATAAGATACAAAGTCAGCATACAAAAGTTTTTTTTTATATACTAGCAATTGACAGGAAAAAAACTTGTAAATGGTTAAATTTATAATAGTTTCAACAAACATGAAACACAAGCTGGGCATAGTGGTATCTGCCTGTAATTCCAGCACTTGGGAAGCTAAGGCAAGAGGATCTTGTTCACGAGCAGTCTGGACTACATAGTGGAACCCTGTCTCAAAAAACAATGAAAAACAAAAGGAATGTTTAGCTATAAATTGAACAAAAAAATTTAAAGATATCTATGTTGAAATGACAAAACGTTGCTGAGAAAAATTAAACAACAAATGGAAAGATACACTGTGTTTAGAGATGGGATGGTTCAATATTGCTAATATGTCCACAGTTTCCAAGTTGATACATAGATTGAACACAGTCACAATTCAGCAGACATTTTGTAGAAACTGACAAATTGGGTCAAAATTTTATATGGACTAATGAGTTGTTGGAGAAAGGTTTAAGGATACAGGATTAACATACTGTAGTCAATCACTCTGCTATACACTAGCAATGATCTTAAAACTTGAAATTTGAAAGCTACCATTTACATTAGTACCTCAAAAATGAAATAATTTGATATAAATCTATAAAAAATATGTGCAAGACTGACATGAGGAAAACTGCAAGGTTCAGATGAAAGATATTAAAGAACTAAATAAATAGATAGATATCCAGTGTTCTTAGAAAGACTCCATGTTGTCCAGATGTTAGTTCTTCTCAATTTGATCTGTAGATGCAATGCAATCCCAGTCAAAATGTGAGCAAGTTATTTTTTGTGGATATTGAAAAACTAATTCTAAAGTTTAAACAAAGTTGTAAAAGACCCAGAATAGACAACTCAATATTGAAGAATAAAGTCAGGGGACTGGCACTAAGCAACATGAAGATTTACTGTAAAGTGGCTGGGGGTATAGCTTAGTGGTAGAGTATTTGCCAACATGAAAAAGGCTCTGAATTTGATCCCCAGTACTTCCAGGGGGAAAAAAAGACTGACTGCAAAGCGACAGTAATCAAGACAATGTGGTACTGGTGAAAGAATATTACAAATAAGTCAGTGGAACAGAATACTGAGCCTACAAATAGATCCATGTAAATACAAATCTTCAACAAGGTAGCAAAGGCAATATAATGGAGCAAGCATAGTCTTTTTCACAAATGGTACTGGAAAAACTAGGCTTTTGGCATATAGATACAAAATTAACTCACAATGGATCATAGACCTAAACGAAAAATGCAAAACTACTAGAAAATAGGACAGGAGGAAATGTAGATGACTTTGCGCATGATGATGACTTTTTAGATACAACACCAAAGGCATGTGTGTAAAAGAAATAATGGATAAGCTGTTCTTCATAAAAACTGTTATGTGAAAGACACTGTTGAGCATGAAAAACAAGCCACATACTGGAGAAAATACTTCACAGAAGACACTTCTGATAAAGAATCATTATCCAAAATATAAAAAGAACTTTTAAAATTCAATAATAAGAAAATGAAAGTGAACAACCCAATTTTTAAAAATGGGCAAAAAAATTTGAACACCTCACCAAAGAACTTATACAAATGGCAAGTAAGCATATGAAAAAGTTTTCAACATTGTATGTCATTAGAGAATAACCACTTGTGGTTTTTTTTTTTTAGGGGGGTATAATTCAGTTTTTTTTGGTTCAGTTTTGAGTATTTGATTATTTTGGTGCTGGGGATTGAACCGAGGACCTTGTACATGCTAAGCACACATTATACCACTGAACTCTACCCCAGTTCTTAGTTTATTTTTATTTATTTATTTATTTATTATTTTTTGGCAGCACTGGGGCTTGAACTCGGGGCCTCATGTTTGCTAAGCAGATTGAGCTACCCCACCAGTTCTTTTCAAGATAGGGCCTTGTGAACTATTTGCCAAGGCTGGCTTTGAACTGCGATCCTCCTGATCTCTGCCTCCTGAGTAGCTAAAATTATAGGTGTGAGCCACCAGTGCCCAGCTTGAATATTTTTAAATGTTGTAGTTTTGTCTTATAATGTTATTATTTTTTCCTTTGAACAGTTAATTGTCTGTTTAGAAGAATTCAAGAAGAAAAGATAGTCTTTTATATTTATCATCTCTAGTGCTCTTCATCTCTTCCTGTATATTTCCTCAAGTATAAGTGCTGTTGTTTGAAATGTGTCATAGTTTTCATTGTATTTCTTTTCATTGCTTGCTAATTTTTAGTATAGAGCTAATCATCCATGATCTATGGACCTGAACATACTCAGTGTTGACAGCTGCCTGGTAGGAGGTTCACAGGGTTGCTGAGCCCTATGCTTGCATGGTACATATTTTGTATTAAATTTTATGTGGTTGGCAAGATGCAAAGCTCCTGCATCATAATAGATTATATAGTTCTGAATCCTATCACCACTTTCGTGACATGGCTTTATGGCCCTTATCCTACATCAGTGATGTTGCTAACCAGTATCCCTTTGTTTAAGCCAACATCAGGTCATCTCTGGCCTTCATTCATGGCTTGGTCATTTTTGTAGACCTCCCACTTGCTGTCTGCGTGGCTTTTGCTCTTGAAGTTATAAGAGTTGCAATATTAATTCCATGTATTTTTCCAACCTGAGCCCCAAATATCATGCATCTTTAGACCTCACTTATCACAATGGATTTTCTCTCTTGCCCTCTTTTTGTTCTTGAAGTGAAGGGAAGAAAAATACCTTTCCATTTCTGGTCTATGAGATTCCTCACCCCCCCTTTTTTTCTCACCTTGACTGTCTTTATGAAGTTTTAAAAATATTTGTTTGGGCTGGCAGAGTGGCTCAAATGTTAAGGGTGCCTGCCTAGCAAGCATAAGACCCTGAGTTCAAACCCAGTGCCAAAAAAAAAAAGAGAAAGAAAAATATTTGTTCTATCATTTTACGTATTTGAATGGGAAGATGAGATTTCAACAGGTGCTCCATTTATATTGAAACAAAATGATTTTATTTAGTTCTATTATTTTACCTTTTATATTTATGAATTTATTATTCATCTATATTTGTTTGCTTGATTATTTATAGTTTTTTGGTGTGTGGAGTGAGAAATTGAAATTGAAATAGATGTTTTTCAACATACACTATTTTTAACTGTTAATATTTGAAAAATTCAGTTATTTATAGATCTTTTTCTCATATATCCACATTTCCTCCATTTCTTCAAAGTGAAGTAGGATTCAGGAGCAATTTTTCTTATTTTACAGAAAGGTAATTGAATCAGAAAAAGGGGGTTGCCTGAGGTCAGAGAGGCAGTCAATGGTAAAACTGAAGATTGACACAAAGTATCCTGGTTCGGTGTCAAGGTCATTAAACTTTAATGTAGCTTAACTTTGCTGCCATATTATCCAGTGCTTTGTGATTGAATTAGATTTGAAAAGCAAACTAGTGACAAGAAAAATATTACCCATTAAGATTGATATTGAACTTGATCTAGATAATGGGAATGTCCTCATTTTTTGAGATGGTTAAAGCTCTATTAGATATGAATATGAATGCCTTAGCAGATACTTGTAATGTGATTTTAGGATGTATTTTATTATTATTAGGCTTTTAAAGTTGAATTCTTATATAATATCGGTATCATTAGCCTCATTTACAAGGTAAAACTTATAGACACTGAGATATCAATCTTCTTCTTTTACTTTTGGTGGACTGAGCTTTGAACTCAGGGCTTCACACTTGCAAAGCAGGTGCTCTACTGCTTGAGCCACACCTCCAGTCCATTTTGCTCTGGTTATTTTGGAAATGGGGTCTCAAACTATTTGCCCTGCTAACCTCAAACCATGATCCTCCTGATCCTCAATCTCCCAGATAGCTAGGATTATAGATGTGAGCCACTACACCCAGCATCTATCTTTGTTCTTTAGTTCTTTATTGTTATACTAATGTAGAGGGGAAATAAGGGGATAGCATTTTACAAAATGGGAGATTTGATTTTTTCCTTTGTAATATGAGTACCAGGAAATAGAGAAAAAAGATGGTGTTCTCTGTTGTAGGTGATCCACAACTCATAGATGCTTTGTAGAAAGATAGTTCTGATTTTGCACATGTAAATACACCAAGTGGTTAACTCACAAATTAAAATAAGAGTTTGAGTTTGTTAAGGACTACCTCATTAAAAAGCCTACTGTGTTAGGTACATGCCATGCTGAGATGGTCATTCCTTAATTTTCTTTTAGCTCTAAATTAGTTCACTTACTGGGTTTGTCTGCTAAATTAATGTATTGATTTATTGAAAAATATAGGAATATCAGCTAGAACTATCAGTTCTAATGATTTCTGGCATTGGACATGACCTTGTAGAAATTAACTGTAAGTTCACACTGATTTAGCAGTGTGAAAAATTGAAAACATGAGATTAAATGTCTTAACCCCAGAAAGTAATTCTAAATGTTCAAGCAATTTATTGATGTATAGCCATTTCCAATCATGTTTTAAATTTTGTAGGTAATCTTTTCATTAGGGAAAAGCCTTCTTGGATCATGAACTTAATAAACAATTTCACAGATGCTGGTGTCTATTTAACTGCTTCTACTTTGTTGCCATTTCTTCTCACACAGAAATACAATCTATACTGCCTAGATTCTCTGCAAAGGTGACCTGGACTTCAGAAGAACGCAGCTGTTCTCAGGATGCCTCAGCGATAGCACCCTTCCAGATAATTTTTGAGGCAAGTTTTGTTGTGGGTCTATAAATTACTGAATCTTTGGTTCCTACTTTTCTACAATATAATTATAGGAAAGAAAGCCTAGGTCCAACACAGTCCCAAGTTAAAGTGAAATTAGGGGCATTGGTTTCCAAACTCTCCTGTGTAGACATTAGATTACTTAGGAGCTTCCAAAATACTGATGTCTGTGTTCTATCCCAAGAGGTTGTCATTTAATTATCTGGGTGTTGCATTAGTCTTCTTGACCCTACAAAATACCATGGACTAGGTGGCTTAAAGAATAGAGATTTATTTTCTCATGGTTCTAGAGGCTGAAAATTCAAGATCAAGGTGCCATTTGGGCCAGGCATGGTCACTTACACCTGTAGTCTCAGCACCTGGGAGGTTAAGGCAGGAGTGTCATTTAGGCCCAGGCATATGAAATCAGCCTGGGAAACATAGAGAAATCAGTCTCAAAAAAAGAAAAGTTAAAAAGAAAAAGTGCTACCAGGGTTGCTTTCTGGTGAGGTCTCTTCCTGGCTTGCAGACTACTGCCTTGTTACTGTGTCCTTTTCTCAGTGTATGTAGAGAGGGAGAGGGAGAGGTAGAGAGATATCTCTCTCTGCTATCTGTATATGGAGAAACACCCCAATTATGTCTTTAAGGTACTACCTCCAAATACACTGACATTGGGAATCAGAATTTCAATACATGAATTTTGAGGGACATAATTCAGTCCATAACAGTGTGGCCTAGGCTTTGAAGTTTTTTTGTTTTTTCAGTACTGGGCTTGAACTCAGGGCCTACACCTTGAGCCACTCCATTAGAACTTTTTTGTGAAGGATTTTTCAAGATAGAGTCTTGAGAACCATTTGCCCAGACTGGCTTTGAGCCTCTATCCTCCTGATTTCTGCCTCTTGAGTAGTTAGGATTACAGGTGTGAGCCACTGGTGCTTGGCTGGAGTATTTTTTTCTTTAAATTCCAGGTGATTCCTTATGTGCAGGTAAGTTTGAGAACCTCAAAAAAACCTCCTGATAAAATAAAAATTGATTCACAGGACAGATTCTACTTGGATAAATTTTTATTTGGTTGAATAAAGATTTTTTTATAGGCCGGGCTCTGGTGGCTCACACCTATAATTGTAGCTACTCAGGAGACAGAGATCAGGAGGATCGAGGTTCAAAGCCAGCCCAGGCAAATAGTTCCAAGAGACCCTATCTCGAAAAAACCCTTCACAAAAATAGGGCTGGTGCAGTGGCTCAAGGTGAAGGCCTTGAGTTCAAGCCCCAGTTCTATAAATAAATAAATAAATAAATAAATAACTTCATTGATTTATTTGTTGCCCAGATTTATGAGAGTGACAGTTGAATTCTCCACTCTCTAATGGTTTTCTGGTCCCCTGTCTTTCCTTTCTTGTAGTTGGTGGAGATATAAAGAATTAGAATGTCTTAAACAAAACAAACAAAAAAACCCTCAAATTATAATGCATTAAACATTCTTTGAGGAAGCACTTGGGAAGCCATTCTCTATATTTGAATAATTATATGCTCCCTCTGAAAGGAGTTGGTACTGATATAGGAACAACAGATACTCCTGGCCATGCCTTATCTTTAGGATAATAAAAGGTAAACATTCTGGAGCAATTAATGGTTAGCCAGCTCTGAAAATACTAATGCCAAGTAGCAATAAAAAGGTGATTCCAGTGAACCAAGGAAAGCAATTCTAGAAAATGAGATCATGTGTTTTAGCTACTCTGAATAAGAAATGATAATTCATATAGCTAACATTTACAAATATTATTTAAGCTTCTTGACAATTATGAAGTGGTACAGGCATATTGTTGCAGGAGTTTGCTTGCTGAGATATAGGACTCTTGAGGCAATTAGCAGGAAGCAACACTTATTGTGCTGGCACAGACTCAGCGGACCCGTGTCCAAAGGCTGAGCCCTGAGAACAAATAGGTCTCACCTATATAAGGTATATATACCCTTGCAACCAGGTTACAGGGCAATAAAATTTAAAAAACAAGGTTTAACCCATATATGGTTACATGCAATCCTATAGTCTACTTCAGCCTAGTTGTTTAGTGCCCTTCTACCCCTAGTGCTATGTGACCACCTTCACCTTTGAATTCTTTGGTTTTATATCTCTACTATGCTGTCCCTTCCCCCCGCTACTTTATCAGGACTCAGGCCTAGTTTGTCTTTTTCTGATCCTCCTCCCTGCTACATTATTTCCCCCTTTGATGCTCAGACCCATCTAGGGTCAAAGAGCATCATCTTAATTTAGGGGTTTGTATTTCCATAGCATCATCATATGTGAGGCAGTTTTCCTTTGTATAAGCTAGATCCCCACAGCTATAGCCTGTACCTCCACACCCACCTTTGTCTATGGCTGCACATGCATCAGAAAGTATTAACACTGGTTTATCAGGACTAAACACCTGGCTGTGGCTGATGAGGTTCCCAGGGTGGCGGACACTCCTGATCTCTAACCATTGCTCCCGAGGGCAATAAGTGGGGTTGAAGCAGATATGCTGATTACCATGGGAGCACACTAGATAGGTGGTGTGATTGTGAGTGCATGACCTGATGACAGAGCCTGCCCAGGAATAGTAAGTATGGAAAAGTAAAGTCTTAGTAACAACACTTCCTATCCGAGTAGTATGCATACATAGGTCACAGGAGGAGGGCTCTGTGCCACGAAGGGAAAACAGATCAGTAACAATAAATAGTAAATATGCATCCTGCCCAAAAGAGATAGAAGAGAGCAAATAAAAACCTTTCACTATGAGACCAGTCAGTGGGGGAGGTTTCTGCCAAGCCTATGGTGAAGACTAGGGTGAGATAACTGGTGTGAAAAACAACCTGTCTGCCCTGTTGGAGAGTTGACTCCTCAAGCGTAGATTAGTCAGCTTCTGGAGTGACTACAGCAGGGCTGTCATCCCATTGTTCTTGGTCCCCTGTTGTTTCCTGGGAAGCAGAGTCCTGCTGAGGGAGGATGCTCAGGTTCTCGAGGGTGATCCTACATGGTGAAGCCGGATTCAGAGTGCACTCCCATTCTAGAGAAGTTGGCTTGACTCGACTGTGGTGGATCCAAGGAGCTGTCTCTGCTACTTTAACTGTGGTGGGAGTGGACAAAATAACAACCCAGTGGGGTTTTAATGGGACATTTTTATTTATTTGCTATTACTATTATTTTTTTAAACCCAAATATCCTTTTTTTTTAACTGAGTAGAATTACCATGGCAACAATATATTAGTATATATGTCCAAGAAAACACGTTGTTTTAAAAAAAGTTAAAGCCACCATCTTTAAGTATCAAATGACATGTTTAGAGCCAGTAAAAATAGTTATTGTCTCTATTTAAGTAGAAGACCCTGTCTAAAAATATGAGTTTGTGTCTGGAAGGGTTTTAATGCCAGATAGCCACATATGCATAAGAACCATTTCTTCAATCCTCTCAGCCTTGGTTAATTTTGAGAGGTCTGGCACCAGTGACTCCATTTGAACTTTGATGGCATTCCCCCTTGTCTCTAAACTGCTTGTCTCTGAGCAGTCTCTTCTGAAGATGTGTCTTCCATCCAAGTACTAACCCTGCTTAGCTTTCAAGATCAGATGAGATTGGGCGTGTTCAGGGTGATATGGCCTCAGACAGAAGATCTTTCTTGATTGGTTGCTCTTATCTGGATTTTGTTTGTTTGGTTGGTTTTGGTCCCATGTTGGGGGGGAAATAATGAACAGATCAGGTGGGAGTCAGTGCCAAATAGACCCTTTTGGCCAAATTTAAGCAACAAAGAGGCTTAGAAGGAGTGGCTCTTAGGCAGTGGGCTTCTAGACAAAACAAAATCTAACAAAACCAGATGTCTAAAAAGCTAACCTGGTTGACACATAAGTAGTTTTTAGAGTCATTTTTTTATGGACTTGATTATAAATGCCCCAGAAGGATCAGAACTGTAATGATTAATTACATAATGATGTAATTATGATGGATAATTTAGCAACTAACAGAACAGTATATCAGTATCACTAACTTTTTGTTACCATGTTTATTTAAATTTTGTATTTTAGAAGGCTTGATATACTTGAAAAAACATAAATATATTTAATATATAGGAACAATCAACAGCATCACAACTTTATAGAGGTTATACATACATATTAGTTTAGTTGTTCTTGAAGTAAAACCTTAGATTTTTATCAGTTGTAAGGGGAAAGAACAGTTTTAGTAAACCCAAATAGCCCAGTCACAGACACATATAGGATACCAACTGTATTAGAATCACCCAAGACAACAGTTGTTTAACCATAAGGTCATCTAGAAAGTTTTATATAAACTGTTGGAAAATAAGAAGTATGGAAGAGGCAGAGAGACAGCTCAAACACCAGTACCGGGTTTATTGTTTAGGCAGGAGCCCTGTGGAGGGGACCCCAGCAAGAGAACTAGAGCCCATTGCCGTACACAGGCTTGGGCTAGTGAAAAAGTACCAGAATATCACTAAGGGATAAATGTTGCTGAGCAACTGAGAAGGATAGGTTGTAGTTAGGTCACTGTCTGCCCAACTGTCCTTGGCATCTATCCAGAAAGATAAAGGTAAGCCATCTGCAAGGGGAGGGGGTCTAGTCCTAACATGGCTGTCCTCATTGTTAACCCCAACATAAACCAACTCTTAAATGAGCATGACTCAGTTACCTTAGTAGTTAAAACCCCGACAAAAACCACCAGAGAACACAGGTAAATATTTATGGGGACTAAGTATGGAGTTAGGAAACACAGTGGCCAAGAATCATGGCTAAGATTTTGATAAGGGATCACATCCCAGATTGTTGACATTAACATATGGCTCATGACATACAGCAGGACCCCACCAACCTGTAGTCAATTTAGCCTCCCCCTAAAATAACAGGCCCAATCTGGACATCCCAGTGCAAAAATTCCCTCCATCCAACATGTGGAAGGAGTAGGCCTAACACCTTCACTCTGTTGAGTCCAATAAAAACTGGAGGTCTTGACTTGCAGTGT